GAACCACTAGTACATAGTCGAACCGCTGGTGCATACGATACCGTGATGGCCATCATTCGTACCCAGCGATTCGCTAGCTAATCCACGGATCCGCAAAGTCTGGCGCTCGTCTGACACGGTGGAATAAGTTAGAGAAGAGATCATACAATGAGACTTCCGCGGGGCAAAGTGCAAACCACGCCCATGCGATCGGCGCGCAATATGATTCACATAACGTTTCAAGGGTTTCTAGCAGTTTTTTCACTTTTCAGCACTGGTAGACCAAACCCACAAGTACTTTATTTGTAGACGTAACAACCTATACTTATCAATCGCGGGACGTGCCTTTAGGTAATGCAAATTATCACAGGTTGAGAAACTGGACAAAAATTACAGTCTCGACCCAACATAGAGAATCGAACTTAATACAGTTTCAGGCTGTATTCGAAACGCGTTCACCTCATTGAAGGCCATGAATCAAAAGGTCTACTTGAATGACTTCTACGTTGTATTTCTTCACACCTTTTTTTTGAGTTAGCAGCAGCAACAATATCAGTTCAGCGCTAAATTTTTAACTCATTCGCCTTCAAGGACCGAATTATGCCAGGCTCACCTTCGCCATCGTCAACGACCTTTGTAACTAGACCCCATTGTAGGGCTTCGTCAGAAGAAACAGCTCGCCCTGTCAGCACCATGTCGAGAGCTCTAAAAGACTGCCTTTGTGCACAACACTTTCCTCAATAACATATCACCAATGGGTGTCAGGAAATGTGTGCGGTGGCGCGGCAGCAAAATGGCGTCGCGCGCGCCATTTGCATCACGGCAAGCGGCAAGGTGAGTCACAGCGTCCCAAGCTTTCACAACAGCACAAACTACCGTCAAAGCATTGAAGGGCGGTCTAATGAAATCATTTTGTTAGTGAGCATAACAACAGCTTCGTTTAGCAAGCATCTCATGAAGCCAGGAACCGACGTCACTCACCTGCCTAGACCGACGATGCGAGGGAGGCGAACAGTTCCTCCGTCGATGAGTGGGACACCTACTCGTCGGCAGAACACACCAAACGTTGCTGTGCGGCCACATACTCTGATGTCAGCTGAACAGGACCGTAGTTAAAAAGAGGGTTAAGGTTCTTATCATAAAGGAATAGGGGAGATGATAATGCTGTATTTTTATAATTGCGGGTTGGTGGTTACCACAAAAAGGTCCGCCAAAGACACGAGTCGTTAACGAGTTGCTGCGTTATTTTGTTCGAAAATTCGACAAAAAGTGCGATGTGGAACTTCAGTGGGAAGAAAAAGCAGAAAGGGTCATAGAAGACCGTGACACTTGTGAGTCGTGCGCGTGGTATGAGGGAGAGACATAGCGCTGCGAGGAGAGGGGACACGCGAGATAGCACGTCGTACGCAAGAGGGCGCAGACGTCACGTACGCCGCGATTAGAATGGCAGCACAGCTGCATACAGGGTAAGGCCTCAGCGCCGTGGCCTCATTATTAAATTGTAACAGTGTCACGCCTCCTGCGCTTTAGCACTCCTCTTTCCCACTCTAGAGGCCACTTCTTTGCACTTATTCTCGACAAGTGGTTTTAGAGGCGAAAGTTCGACTTTTTATGGTTATAGGACCGGGATCAGGTTTACCTCTCCAGGCACCTTACTAGTCCGCTACACTACCAGGATTCTACGCATCTTATCCTAACTTGGCACTAAATGTTTGTTTAGGTCTACGACAAATTGGTCATTTGCTGAAAAGAGAGTGAATGTACAGATGCTAAGAGAGTAGCAGTGAAGAAAAAAAAACTTAGGGAAACGATATCCTTCTCTTCCCCGCTTTCTTCCGCTTTGGACGAGTTATGTTGGTGCTACCAACGTTTCGCTCTGTTCGGCCTCTAAGCTGAAGCGGCGGGAATCCGATGGCGGGGGATCGTCAACCAGCAACAGCAACTGAGTTAGCCATTTATTGGACGGACAGAAGGACGAAGACCTCTAGAGAGATTTGTGAAACTCTTCTGCGTCGCTGAAGCCAATTCGCCACCGTCGTTCCCTCGGCAGGTCCAGCCTCCCTCTGTATTAGGTGCAATTTCCCTCCTTCAGCATCCATTTTATCGTGCTACCTTCTTTTTGAGATGAGCAAATAAAAGTTATTTTCAAATACCCACAGAGACAACTCCAGTCCCACCGTAGCGTCCCTCATGGCGCGATCGTGGTTTCCGTAACTTCATTATACGAAGGTCCGCGAAACAATTCATCAACACTTACAAAGCACTTAGATACTCGTATTGAGGTTGCTCGCTTTCATTTATTCTTCTCTTGATCTTTAGATTTAAGCAGTTTCAACAAGTGTATTCATTGACGCTCTTTTCTTAAATCAAACCGCCATGATAAATTGGCCACATTTTGGCGGTGGGGTTCCATATACCCTTCGGCAGCGTTTTCGTCATAACCCAGCCTCCTTGTGGTATGCTCTCTCAATTGTGAAATAAATCAGATTGTAAAATGAATACGTACCATATAGCGGAATGTTTGAGATGAGGGTGCATCCATTCTTATGCGTTCGAATTCGCTGACCTCGGATAGATCATAGCCAGCACAAAAGTGTTCTCCTGAAAGGCGACAGTAGATTTGTTCTGCAGCCGTCTGCATTCCGTTTTGACTAGCTCAAGAAGCACGCCTTAGTTTCAGAAGTAGGCCCTTTCTCGCTTCGAAATGAAAGCTCAAAAATGAAAATGAGCTGTGATGGAGCAACGCAAGAAGCTGCCACACCGTCTAATCGAACCACTGATGAAAACACCCTTGGTATTTTCTGAGAAGAATAAATAGTACTAGATTCGTATTAGCAACAGCTAGGTAAGAACCGTTTACCCCAAAACCGAATACATGCCCTTTACATACCCTACCAGGCCCAGAGGCAGACCCCCCTCGACGGGCTGACCCCTTCGTAAACTTGTACGGCCAACTGTGGCGCAGAAGAGCCCGAAGCAGAGCGGCTTGGAAGATGTGCGACCTGCGTTTCTGGCGTGCCCGGACGAATAGCGGTCGAGAAGAAGACATATCCTTCGTATCCGCGGCCGGATAAGTCCGCACTACAGACCCCACAACACAATTGGCGACCTAAGAGTAAATCTCATATCTGGCAATTTCTAGTGATAGCTGATAGCTGATGAAATGATAGCTGTAATTAGTGACAATTGATAGAATACAACTGCAACCGGCTAATCATTTCGTTGGCAGAAAACTATTTACATTTTGTGGAGGCCGTCGTCACTTGTGTTGTGAAGTCTGCAGTGGACACGAAGCTGGCCGCCGGATACAAATGGATGTGCGCCACCGGAAGATACCCATTTCACGGAAGTTGCTTTGGATTTTTTCCTTGTAATATTTTACTCTGAAGATGAAAATGAACTGAAATGGAGATGAAAAACAGAAAACCTTGCTAGAGCAAAAGTGCGAGGAATAAAAAAGCGTGCTTTTTTCACAATAATGACGGCGCTATTATCTGTGGAATTCCAACATCATCAAAAACTAAAGCAAAATGCAAAATTACAATCGAACCCAACCTTCGCCGTAGAGAATCCCGATTTTCACCAAAGGATCAGAGTTTAGGCGTTCCACTGCCTTAGTCAGCAGTTTGCTGTTTCCTGATTTACACAATTCCTCTTGCCAGGTCGATTGATTCCGATGAGAAGGACTCCATCCTCGAGACGTACGTTCACTGAAAACAACGAAACAGTACTGAAGAACACACCCCGTGGACCGACGTGTGGCACGTTTCAGTGCGCCGTCGCCACCGGTATCTCCTGACACACACCCCAGATAAAGGGGAATTGAAATGATGACAACGCAGGTGACTCTCGAACGTTTCCTCCGTACGGAGCCGTGACTAGTTTTCATTTGATGTTGCACATCCCATGGGAGCGCTCAATAGAGAGTCCGTTTAAAGGAGGATTCTACGATAAGGACAAAAGTTGAAATAGGGGAA